ACGATAATAGTGCAACAGAAAACGTACTTTGATTGCAGCACCAAAGGCTGATTCGGTGGTTCTATTACTCTGAAACATAGTAGGAATACTTTCGAGCAACAACTCCAAATGTTGGCGGCACTATGCCCACAAAAAAGAAGTGACATTATTAAAGAAATAGGAAAGGTAAGAAAAAAATTAAATCTAGTGATCAACCTCATCAACATCAAATATTTTGGAGAATCTAACCTCTGAAAGTTGAACAATGACATCAGACTCCAGAGGAGTATAAACATCTTGTACATCAGGAACTATGAGCATCAAAGGCTGAAAAGAAATAACAGAACATCAATAAACAAGTAAAAAAATCGGAGACTATCAGTTAGCCTTCTTAATGAAAACTGTATGCATTCAAAGAATCTCCCTAATTAATTCCATTGAGGCCAAGGGCAGGGATTGTCCAAAAGTATTAGGAACAAATATCTTCTTTAACAAATTCTGGATGATACCTAAATTAAAAGTTGTACGCCCATTGATGAGCACTTATAGTTCATACTGTTACTGGAATTTGTTACCTAATTTGCAGCTGAAAGTTTATCTTGAATGGAATTTGTGTCGTATTAACGTTGACCAGACCAGGATCACTAGGTTTCAAAAGTTGGTTTTAGCTGTGGTGGAGATTAAAGAAAAAAACCTGCCCTCTCAGTACCTTCTCTCTCCTATAGGATTTTTGTTTTCCTCTTTTGGAAGTTCATCTTCAGCTTCATGCTTATACGGACTGAAGACCAAATGAACATTTGATACTTTACAGGATTTTCTCTTTTACAGAGGAATGCAGGTTCAAGAAAACGGACCAGATGAAAGCTAACAACTCAAAAAGGGATGCATGAAATAATGCTCATGGCTCACCTCACTAGGACTCAAACAGGTTTCAATTATCCAAGGCTAGGTTCGAAAGAACAAAGATGAGTTAAATGTTCCAAAAACAAAATAACTACAAGAATCCGGAAGAGAAACAAGTACAACTAAATTGACAATACTTGTGTATTCGTTCATCTATTTTCTGAAATGATCTGATTTCCTTTCCATCTATCTGCCGAATACCAGTTATTACATTCATCATCAAGATGCCTTAGTTTTCTTTTCACCCTCACAACAAAAGAAATGCCTAAAATGGAGATAGATAACAATGATTGAAATGTGACCTGTTGTAGTGCTCGTTTCAGATTGTAAAAGTGAATTGTTGTGTCAAATGTTGCAATCCCGACAAATGTACGAGGACCTTCCTGGAACATCACAGTGTCATCAGTCACTAAGATAGAAAAAATAAAGCTCATATATGGCTAAAATTGGACGAAACAGGGGGGTAAAAAAATATTTTCCAAGATCGTCAATATAGATCCTATTTGTAAACATCAATATAAGCCAAATCCAACAACCACTCACTAAAACACACAGGAAAAGAACAGGAAAAAATGATAAATAACACTCTAAATAGGGAATATCAAATTATTCAGAAAAATACAGACAAGCAAAACAAATAAAAGCTTTTGCAAATGGCTAAGTTCCTCAACCTCAAGGTGACATCGTTTTTAGATTTCGTACAGGGTCCAATTTATCAAGGGCATTCAAGAACTGAAAGATTTGCAGTAAAAGATTGTTTGATTACGTATAAAGAATTTTACCAAAGTTCACAGCATTTAGATTGTTACAAAGAGTCAAATTAACAAAAATGGCAATCCATAACAGAAAAGAGAATGTAGTCACTTATAAGAGACAGAACAAACCCTGACAGAATAACATAACAACTATGCATAGGTCACACAAGGTAACTCCATCTGAAGATAGTGAAACAATAGAGACAGAGGCAAACTTTAGAATGAAATCCGTCCAAGGTTTAATTGCATAAACCAGATGTTGAAAGCAAAAAAAGAACCAAAAAAAAAAAAAAAAAAAAAAAAAAAAATTAAA